ACATACCACTCTAGAAATCCCCATTTTCAAGGCAACCTCAAGCCGGCTCGCTCCAATCTCCCGTCGCTCCTCTTAAGCGCCCCACAAGAGTCCTCAAGCACACTCCCGTGGATGTAGATGGTTAGGAGTTAACCCTATCCCTCCAGGGACCTTATTATGGGGTCCTTAAGGGGTCTAGGGCCCTAACTATGAGGTCCTTCGAGGGATAGGGTAAGGATTAGGGGGAAATCTTAGGGATGTAGACCCTCTCAATAAGGGTTCCCTTTAAAAGAGCCAGAAGAAGGGTTAAGAAGGGTACTCTGTATGGGTCTCCCTAACACTACCTAGGAATGGTGTCAATTTGTCTCCGTTTTTCTCTGCAATTCTCGAAGGATGCCTCTGAACGTGCTCGGGCCACTTGCATACAAGTGGCACAGCTACCATGAAGGTGAAGAAGGCCTGCAGTAGAGTCAGCCGCCAGTCCTCCACTTAGGCTGTCTTCCAGTCGGGAAGCTACCCATAGGCCCCATAATAATTTTTTTTGGGGGTTCATATTTGGAATTCTATAAGGTGATCCCAAAAAGGTACTACTTTGGGGCCTATGGGTAGCCAGTAAGTTGATACCCCCCATGCGCCAAGCCTAGGTCCAGAGATTAAGGGTTCAGAGTGCGCTACAAGTTCGTACCACCGCACGACTCTGTGCAACAGTGGTACTTGGGTTTAGGGTTTAGGCGGTACTGGTAACGTGACCCCGGCAGGAGCAGAAGCAGGAGCCAACACGCATTATATAGGGGCCTTAATTATTAGAATAGAGTTTTGGGGTATATTATACTATACTTAATTAATACAATAAGGAACCCCCCGAAATAGTATTCTTTAGGCCCCTATATTACCTGCCTGGTTTCCTCCCTCGATCAACGATGCATCGAGATCAAACTAAACACGCAGTGCTAATCTTGTCTGTCGTGCACCAGAAGCTAAGCAAAAGATCTGGCCTGGGACTAAAAACCCTAAACCCTAAACCCCTGAACCCTATACCCCTTAAACCGAGTGACTAGCCAATTTCCGCAACATCTGACAGTTTAAACCACAGGATCTTCACACCCCGGTTTGAAGCTACAAACCAACCCCCCGCAGCTCTAAACCCGAACTATACAGTGAAACCCTGAGCCCAAGAAGAAACCGCCACAGTCCGAAATCCGCCGCCCAAAAGTCTCGACCCACAAAGCAACCCGTCAATTATATAGCATGGGATCTCCCCTATGCTGTCCATGTGCACGCGACATCGCAGGTTTTGGGTGATCAAGTGTCACGTACTCAGAAAGGGGGTGTCTAAACATAGTGGATGTTTATTAGAAGGGGCCCCCACCCTGTAATAGTGGTCTTACAGGAATATAATAGGGCCAGTCACGATTACAGGGTGGGGGCAGCTTCTAAGATATTTACCGGGATAGTATAATACTTGAGGACCCTACTTTTTCGACTAAACAGTAATTCTTAGTATCAGCGCAGGCCTTGAAGACAACCTCATATGGCGTGCTGAACTCGAAAACAGACACGGCGAATTCAAAACCTCGGCTTGGAGAAACGAGCGTGTGAAGGCCGCATGTCAACTCTCCTCTCGTTGCACACGGATCGGCAGCGAGTGCTAGTTTGCCGTGCAATGGTCTCGGTAGTAGGGTTCGGGGATGCTGCCCATTTGGAGCCTTCACGCTCAGGCCCTTCTCAGTCTGCTCGCATCTCTGAACCATCATAATTTTTCCACACTTTCTACATATGTACCGCCGCTTGCTTGCAATTTCGTGGTTGGAAATCATTTTTGAAAACCTTGAGACTCAACAAGCCATAAAACCACCTGATACTCTAAATGCTCACAACACAATAGAGTCGTGAGAGTGTAGATGCCCGCAACAATGCCCTCAAAGCCTTAATACCAAGATTCCTAACCCTAGTCCCCAAAACTAAGCCCCAAGCCGAACCTGCTTCTCAAAGCCCTGAACTTCAAAAGCTAAACAACCCTGGAAGCAAACAAGCGGAGCTACCGATATGGTGGCCCATACTGTGGATGATATAAATCCTGCATTACCTTAGGAACCCTAGACTAGGGGAATTATGGTATATTCCTTATTATGGGTAATGCAGGATTTATATCATCCACCGTAGTAGCCCTTATCGGCTTATCGGTACATGGGACTTTCCGAAAATTAGGGGTACCTTATTTGGGGGTCCTTATAATAAGGATCCTACTATATAGGGTACTATATCAGGGTCCCCTATTTTCGGAAACTCCCACATGGGCACCGTCAGAACCTCTCGAACGGGCTGCCGTGCCCTTTCCTTCGCCCCAAGAGCCTCCTACTCTCAGCCCTGAGGCCTTATCACACGGTTTTGGGTTTAAGGCATAGGGTTTAGGGTTTAAGGGTTAAGGGTTTAGGGTTTAGGTTTAGGATTTAGGGTTTAAGGAAATATAGGGTTTCAGGCATAGGATTTAGGATTATGTTTTGGGAATGGACGGCTTATGCCCTCAACCCCAAGCTCGAATGTAACGCTTCGGGTTCAGGATCTTGGGTTTTACGAGTAGGGATATAAGCTTCATGTAGGGTCCAGGGCTTATATGATATGTTTAGGATGTTTGCTTGAGAAATGAACCTCAAGCTCCGGCGTAGTTCAAAGTAACGCAGCCCTGGCCGGGTACCCTAACCCCTAAACCCTGAACCCTAAACCCTAAATCCGAACCCTAAACCCTAATGAAAGGGCTTCCTGTACAGGTACTATAAGGTCAAAGCCAAGTCCGTACTATGTAGCGACATTCAGAGGGCCAATGGCGGGATGAAGGTAGGTGGGGTAATCCCAAACGAGAGTCCTTATATAAGGGAACCTTAATCCTACCTACCTTCATCCCACCTTCTGATACATGGACCCTGAAAGAGCCGGCGATTCTAAAACCCCTCTGAAGTCCTACTGATTTTGGGTGGGATTCTTGACATTAGGAGTGCTTCTCAAGTATCTGCAAAATTTGATGGGGTTTTCTGCTGTAGGGCTGATGGGGAAAGCTGGCTAGAGCTATAGAAACCTACGAGCCCTAGAATACTAGAGTAGTTCGGCAAATCCCCCTAAAATCCGTCCGGGCTTGAATAGCAAAGAGACCAGGGGCCTGAAGCCCCCACAAATCCTAGTCTTAGTTGCTGAGTTCATAAACCCCCAAAAATGTACACCTTCAGTTTTATAGTGGGTAGTATTATCACAAAACGTGTATATAAAGTGTATCCAGCTACTAAGCAGTTAACCCGCAGTCAAGCTCGTAACGCCTCAACCTTAGGTCCTAGACTCCTGGACCCTAAACCCTCAAGCTTAGCTCCTAAGCTTCCCAAACCTTAAGCCTGAAATCATCCTAAACTAAACCCTAAGCCCTTAAACCTAAAACCATCCTAAACCCTAAACCTTGCACCTTAAACCCTAAACGCTCCACCTTAAACCCTAAACCCTAAGCCCGTGATCCTTCAACCACCCTAAACCCCAAAGCCTCCACCTTAAACCCTAAAGCGTCCACCTTAAACCTTAAACCCTAAACCCTAAACACTCCACCTAGAATCCTACGTTCCTGATCAGTGGCCCTGTCTTAGCCGACTCTTTGGTTTCGCGTCTGGCTCGGCCATGGCGAAACAGGGGCCCGGGTGACTTTGCTTTGCTTTGTTTCAGGGTTTATGGTTTAGCCCTGATAGGGTTCAGGGTTTACAGTAGATAGGGTTCAGGGTTCAGGTGTAGGTCTTAGTATTTTAGGATGTTTGCGTGCTTTGTGATGCTGAACTTGTGTCAGTCTGGTTCTCTTATCCTTCCTTGGAAATACGCCTTTGGCTTTTACATTCCAGGAACCAGTTTCGGGTGTGTTCTTTTAGGCTTTGAGGTGTGGGATGCAACTACCATGAAGCTTAGCTTGGTATCTCTAGTTGTCAGTAAACCCTAAACCCTCTTTGGATCAGATAGACTGGTTCAAGAACGTTGCAGCATATACGTGCTTCTCGGGGTGTCTGTGGAGGTTGTAGGGTTTGGTGCTGCATCTAATGTAGGGACCTTGATAAGTAGAGCAGGGTTTGGGGGGGGTTCCATTTTTGCGAATTAATTATAGTATAGTATACCCCCAAACCCCTATTCTAATTACTAGGCCTCTATATTAGCATGCATGTTTGCTTGAAGATCTGCGGGGTCAACTGCCACAAACTCCCTGACTTGAAGCCAACTCGAGAAAAGAATGAGGATGCTTGAAGCATGCTGGATTAGGAGGGCTTTGCTGCAATTCGCACTAAAACTTGTGAATTCGAACTGTCCGGTTGCACTGCTGTTCGCGAACACGAGTTTGGTCATCAGTAGCACGTGTATACTACATGGGCTTTAATAATTTGAATAGGGTTTTGGCGCCCATTATACTGTACTTGTAGTGAGGAAACCTCTTTGCCTACTACTCAGGTGTAATAACGGGACCCTAAAACAAAAAGTGCAAAAGGGTACTACTTAGGAACCTAGGACATCAGGAGCAGGCTTCGAGAGAGAGTTTCTCCTCTATGTGTGCATCTTTCGAACAAGCTGACCTCAAGACAAACGGCACATGCAGCCTATTGCACTTATCAAGGCCCCTATATTATGGTACCCTTATAGTAATCCTTATAGACCCCTTTAAGAGGAACCCTTAAAGGCAGCTAAATTGAGGAGACTTCGGTCTGTGGATCAGGAGCTGGGTTTACATCGAAAGCCCTGCTCGCGTCGAAGCCCAAATCCACGGCTCTCTCCAATCGAAGTATCAAGTCCCTAATGTAGAGGCTTTCATAATTACCTAGATTATTGTTGGGGTTCCTTATTTTGATGAAAGTACAATGGGCCCCAAAACCCTATTCTAATTATTAAGGCCCCTATATATGCTGATATACCCTTTATACCCGTTGTAATATACCATAAAGACCCACTCTGATTGTTGAGGCCCTCTCGTACAGTTGGTGACCTGTGTACATGATGTAGAGTCTAGGGGTCTAGGGCGAAGCAAAACTACACGATCTACTGGCATCCGGCGCAATAGGTTTCGGACTGCGAGCATCGTGCAGTGTGTAGTTCTTCCACCTGAATCTCTTGATACCGGCAGGTGCTGCGAAATAGTCCGGGCAGTAACGCCACAGTTGATGTGAGTGGACCACGGGTGACTTCACTCCTCTGATACGACAAGTATGATTCGAGTCTTCTGCATCCTCTACCCACTGGAAACGCTTGGACAGGATGATGCTGCGGACCGAGCAGCTAAAGTGCTCCTCAGCATTTGATTGGTTGCAGCTCTCAACCGCCGTAGCATTAACAGCTTGTGGGCGGACCGCAAAGAAGTCTGTGTGCAAGAATCGGACTCCCCGCCGTTTGTCGCAGTTGTGGAAGATGCCGTCAACCGACATGTTGTTCATGACCTGCTGGAGCCAGCCATCGTGCATGATCAAGACGTCCAGATTCAGGCGAATTACCCAATCGTACCCCTCGAACCACTTCTCACGACGTCCCAGATTTCCGAATGCGTCGCTCACTGCTTGGATGGCACTGGCCTGGTAACCCCGATTCGGGAACTGCTTCAGCGTGATCCTTCGGAAATGCAGGCGTGCAAGCTCCTCCCGGCTCAGATTCGCTGGGGTGTACAGGATCAAGTCGGCATTCTTCAGGATCGGCAGCTTCATAGCGTGCTCCCAGCATGGAAGGTACATCTGTTGCTCCTTGCTCCAGTGCGTGGTCATAAAGATGCCGACTCGAAGGGGGAGATCTGCGCCGTTTCGGCTCCTTACCTGACCTTCCTGCTCAGTAGTGGCGGGAGGGGGTAGTTTGGTATCGCTGCGGTTCCCGCGACTTGTGTTCGGTGCCGAGCCTTCGCGCCGAGGGCTGCCAGTAGCCCCCCCAGCATGCGAAGAAGAGCTTGGGGTGTCGAGGGAAACCTGCTGCATTCCAATGAAAAACGCTGTCATAGAAAACACCACCAGAAATACCCGATAAGCCCGGGACATTAGGATTGGCAATATCGGCTTGCTCAGACTTGGCACTCCTTCGACGCCTGCTATTCCGCATATCGGACTTTTAGAAGAAACTCTGCCACGAAGCTCCAACGCACTACGAGGCTTCCGTGAGGGTCATGGCAGAAGCTGGCCGCAAGAATGTAATCAGGCACTTGGATTGAAAGGTCTCGCGCGGTTTGCTCCATAAGCAGTAGCTCTTCACAGAATCTTCATAAGCTTGCAGAGTCTTACGGGGAGTAGAGCCGAAGGAGGGAATCTGAGAAGCAAGATACAAACGCACCAACAGGGATCAGCAGATGGAGCTTGTGCGATTGCCTAGCTACGAGGCCTGAATATCAAGCTTGAGCTTGGAATCGGGTAGCTGATGACTACTGTTCACCGCTGGTTGATGTTGCTGCTGCTATACCATGGGCGGTGGTGGTGATGGTGAGCGATGAGACGGCGATGATGGTGATGATGATTATGAGAGTGGTCATGTTCTCATTTGCTTCTAGATCGGTGGAGGTGTCCGTGCTTTGCTTGCTGTGCTGCCGGGCATCTGGCTGTGAGGGGGGTGGAAACATCCAGACTGGGAGAGAAGATTGTGGAGGATAGAGACGAGACCCTGAAAGCCTAAAATCGAAATCCAACCGACTCCCAGACCTTACCGAACCCCACCATGCTGGGTAAGTGAGCCAGACACGCCGTGGCTAGAGTCCTTGAAAAGCTAGGACCTGCAGGATGCGGGTAGAACTTTCCTCCAGGATTCCAGGATTCTAACAAACTCTACATCCAAGAATTAGGGCCGCTTAGGGTGTAGGATTTAGGCGGATAAGCCCTCCATAAACCTCCCTAAACCCTAAACCCTAAACCTCAAACCCTAAACCCTAAACCCTAAACCTCAAACCCTAAACCCTAAACCCTAAACCAAACTCGAATAAGTCCTCTGTCAGGACCTTCAAAGAGCTCGGAAATCTCTGTTGCCGCCACTCCTCCAAAGTAGCTCAGTTCCAGGTCCCTACCCATAGGCCCCAAAGTAGTTCCTTTTGGGGGATTACCTTATAAGATTCTATAATATTCTATATATATATATATATATATATATATATATATGAACCCCAAGAAGGAACTACTTTGGGGTTTCTGGGTAGGTCCTTAATTACTAGAACAGTGCGCCATGAGGGTTTTGAAGCGTACTGATCGGACTCATGATGATTTCCAGGTTTCTGTACGGGCCTCAGAGATTGAAACAGGTTTCAGGATGTAAGGCCGAGTTGGGGTTTAGCACGCTACCTGTACTTTCGGGACCTCAATTGAAAGCAAGGTCTGGAGGAGGATCTTCAGCTGCAATGAGAGGACTTAGCGGGGATGACATTGCCAATTGTTCCACGCCCAAGACACTTAAAACCTACACCCGAATGTTTAGGGTTTACCCAAAGGCCCCAAAGTAGTTCCTTTTTGGGGTTCATACTTAGAATTCTATAAGGTTCCCCAAAAAGGGACTACTTTGGTCCCTATGGGTAGGGTTTAGGTTTCAAACAGCTCCAAGCACGGGACTTGGGCCTGAAACTGCTGGGCCTAGGATGTAGGGTTCCGGAACTTAACTTGGGGAAAGTTAGTTGCCTACATACCACCATTCAGGCCCAAAACCCTGTGACCTCAGAAAAAACGAGCTCCAGGATTCCAGAAGTGCGCCTCCAATCCCTGAGTCCCGAATCATGATTTCTTGAACCTTGTCTTCCAGGCCTGCAGTTAGACGTTTCGGCGATTCGTAAGTTACTTTCCCACTACGTGCCCCCCCATGGTGCAAGTCCTCTGCGTCACGATCAAAGCCTCTGAAGCCAGGCATCGCAGATTGGGGTATATAATCCTAGGTTCCTGAGTAGCCGCGATTTAATGAGGGTACTACTCAGGAACCTAGAATTTACCTCCAGGTGTTGGGCTTGGCTTTGGGCTAGCCGGCCCGCATGGGCTGCACCGTATTCAGAACAACTTGTACAACCAGAAGACAGGGGGGGAGAGAGAGAGAGAGAGACAGAGAGAGAGAGAGAGACAGACAAAGAGTCACAGACAAAGAGAGAAGGACAGAGAGACATACAGAGAGAGAGAGAGAGAAGTGAGAGACTGATTGACAGAAGAAAAAACCCTAAAACCCTGACGGCAAGCAACGGAACACGCGCAGGATCCAAAACCCCCTAACCCAAAGGGTCCAAGTAGTAGCGTAGTATATACTTCGGGGGTCCAAATATTTGCTAAGTAGCTGCTATATTGGTACTTGAACCCTAAACCCTAAACCCCCAAAGCCCTGAGCCCTAAGGCCCTTATCCACCAAACCCAAACCCCTAAATCCTAAACCCTGAACCCTAAACCCCTGAACCCCCCAAAACCCTGAGCCCTAAGCCCCACTTCGACGATGAGGCTGCGACTCCAAGGCAGGAGCTGCACCTCCCAAAAGCCGCGAGATGGCAACATGCTCACAGAATTTAGGGTTTAGGGGTTAGGGGTTTTGGGGTTTAGGGCTTAGGGTTTTTTTGGGGGTTTAGGGTTTAGGGGTTTAGGGTTTAGAGGTGTAGGGGTCATAAGGGCGCAGGGGTTTAGGGCTCAGGGGTTTTGGGTTTAGGGGTTAGGGTTTAGGGTGTAGGGGTTTCGGGTTTTGGGTTTCGGGGTTTAGGACATACTCGCACAAACATAAACAGAAACCGGTGCAAACACAACACACACACACGCACCGTTGGCAACAAGAAAGGTTGGGCGTCGTTCTATAGGGTGCAGGGCTTGGTTGCGGCTTTCAGGTTCACGATTGGAGATCGCGCATCATCAGCATGTTTGTTTCGGTAGAAATCACGTTTTCAGAAATCGCTTCTCCAGCTTCGTCCGTAACTCTGAACTCTTGAAGAAACCTTCCAGCCCATCGCTCAACCCCGAAATAAAGGATACTACGCAAGGCCAGCTTTTAGGATTCAGGGTTCTTCGGTGGATGATATAAACCCTGCATTTCCTGAAGGACCCTAAACTATGGGAAGTATGGTATATTGCTTATTATGGGTAATGCAGGATTTATATCATCAACCGTTGCGCCATGCCTCTGGGGCGTTGGCCGTGGCTGAAGAAAGCCCCGGCCGCCACGTGGTCGGGAGACCGAGTGAGGGAGACGGACCTTGAAATTTTTTGCTTCTAGGATGAGGATGGAGCGTCTAGGGTGTAGGTTTTTGTTTTTGGAGCTCCTTTTTCCGTCAAAAACGGGTGCGAGGTTTAGGGTTCAGGGTCTTACAGTCGGACTAATATCGTTTAGTGTTCTGGGTTTGGGGTTTAGGGCCTACTAAACGGCCTCGACTTAGGGCGCGGATTTGGGGTTTTGGGTTGTCGGATGCATTGAAGAAACGGTCAAGGGTCGAAGGGTTTGAGAATATGGAACTGGTTGGGTTGGGGTTCCTGCTGGTTGAAATGTCTGAATACTTCTAGCTATTGGCGTTACTGTGATTCCACATAAAGGCCTGCCGGTGTGTTTTGGGTACGTATAGGGTTTACGGTTTAGGGGGCTCTAAGGTACAGTTTATGAGACTTAGGGTAGTTAAGCCCCGAGTCAAGTAAAGGCTCCCGGAGCAGAATACACACGCTTGGTGATAAACAGCTGTGCAGCCGCCACTCATTCCCCAAGGAGTGGACGACTAGTAATTAATTCTCAACCTTGCCTCAATAAACATTCGGAAAGTGTTTTCATTACGGCGTATCCTTTATCTCTCCCACTTTGGAGTGATCTTTCTCCTTCTCTGGCTTTTGCCCCCGTGCTGTCTTTTGCTCCTGCTGCTGCTGCGTCTCTCGCCCTCGCTCCTGTTTCTTGCTCTTACTATTGCTTTTGCTCTTGCTCCCATTCTTTAACGCATGTATACTATTCCCATATATCCCCGTCCATGTCTAAGTTACGGCTTGGACCTAACTCAAAGCCATTCCTAAACTCTGAACCCCGAAGACTACAGTCTACAGTAAACCTTTGAGGGCAGTGACTTGAGAACGACAAGCGGCAAAGCCCCTTTGGCTCAAGGGACCACCAGTTGATAAGCAGCGTTATCCTCCCAGGCAGTGGAGTTGTATGGTTTCGCATTGACTTCGAATGGTTTGCACAGGCCCTAAGCTAAGAGCTTTACAGTGTCTCGGTCTTGGGTCCAGTGTGGCGGGAAGCAGCTGAAAAGGCGTCTGTGAAAGCACAAGTGCCCAACCAAGGTGAAAGTTTGGGGCAAACACACTAGCTGCAGTCGCAGCATGTCGCAGCAAAGACTCGGAAACCTGAAACCCGAAACACTAGCCGTTAGCCAAGAAAGCCCCGGATGCCTGAACCCAATGAATCCCGAAACCCCACACTTCGGCAGTGTGTCTGACACACCGAAGCTGTATATCCTATGCTCCTGAAGCCCAAACCCCAACGATTTCCCAGTGGACAAATGTAGGGTTCTAAATTAGGTGTTACTAGCATTGTTCGGGAAGGGAAGGTATCCCGCATAACTGTAATATAGGGGCCTTAATACTACATATCTATGTGTGTGTGTGTATATATATATATAAATTTAAGTTATAATAAGGAACCCCCGAAACCCTATTTTTGATTCTTACGGCCCCTATATCACCTACGGCTGATGAGATAAGTAGGGTCCTTAAGGTAATGCAGGAAATTTAAATCCCTGAGGCTCTATGTGCCCATATAGTAGGTACTTAGGCCTTAAAGGGGTCACGATATGGGTACTTTAAGGCCTAGGTACCTACTTTTGGGGTACATGGAGCCTTAGGGAATCATCAAACCTAGGACCGCATTAGATACCATAATTCCCATGGTCTACCCTAAACCCAAAGCCCTAAACCCCAAAACCCGAAACCCAAAGGTATCCGCCATGACAGTACCTACTTAAAGGATCACGGGACTTGGTGACTAAGGTCATTGTTAGGGTAACTATACTTATAACTACTTATAACCCCGATTAAAGTACTTGTAAGCTTGCTTACTAAGTCCCATGATCCTCCAAGTAGACCCTAAACCCTAAACCCTTATAGTACCCCCCTATAGATCCCTTAAGGGGGCCCGTAGCCTTAATATAGATCCCTTAAAGGCCCACTGGGATGGCCTATCACCCGGCAGCGGCTCGTCGGGATGGAGCACGCAGTGAAGCCAGGAGCCGGGAAAGAGCAAATACCTCAAGCAACGGTGATCTCCTACTTGGAGGTTCATGGGTAGTTTTAAGAGGGGTTCTATAAGTCCCCTATTAATTATGGGTTATAGCGATAGTTATCCGGCTTATAACCCTACATATATATATATATAACCATCAACCTCCTAGTAGACCCCCCAACTACCCTCCCGAAACCTTAAGCCCTAGACCCTATGCCAAAGGTGATCTCCCAGACCCTCCAACTACGTACCCTCCATAGAACCTTAAACACCCACTGTTAAGGACCATAGGGGCTTTATCAAACGTCACTGGGGGGGTCATGGCTCGGGTTTCGAGTTTAAAGTGCTGGTGTTTCAAGTGCTCCATGGTTTGCTGGGGCCTTCTGCTTATGAGTTGGGATTCAGGGATTATGACTCTGGACGTTTGAAAACCCAAAGGGTCCCAAGTAACCACATATAATTAAGTCTAGGACCCTTTGGGAGAAGAAACTCCATTTGCGTCGTTACCGATCGCTCTATAGGCCACTGTGCTTTCAAGCAATTTACATACTCAGGTCCCATCGCGTGAAGTGTGCCAAAGACTTCACGCTGCGTCGCGGAGCTACCAAGACACAAACCGAGCATTGAACCGGGTTTACATAGGGTTCAAGGGTACGCCAGGTTGCCGCCGGAAAACAGCACAAGTCTACCGACAGGGCCCTATCTGCTGTATCAACCGACCGTGCTAGAGGCCACAAAATGACACAAACGACAAGGTCCACGAGCAGGACACAGACAGCTTGACATCTCCACCGTCCACTCCATGATCAGCACCAAAAGTATGATTCATCGTCATCGCTGTCGTCATGGTCATTACCATCCCCGCCACCATCATCATCACCATCATCATCATCACCATCATCACCATAACCATCATCACCATCACCACCATCGCCACCATCACCATCACCATCACCACCATCATCCTCTTTACCAACATACTGGTCCTAGCATTGTTCTGGGTGATGCTATTGAAGCTGTGCCCTCATCCGAACCTGAAACCTTGCAAAGAGAAGAGGCACCTTCCTGGCGAGGGCCACACAGATAGGACCTGGCGGTGCGCTCAGCTTGCGTCGCAGATGCCAAACCCGAGTTCCTGAAACCGTACAGTCTACACACCTGAAACCACTAAAACTTCAACCCCGAAAGCGCAATCCCTTAAACCCTGAAACCTTAAAACCACCGAAACTACAATAAGGTCCATTTGAGGACCAGCTTTGGGGTGAAAGGGATACATTCCTACTGGTTTTGCTGTTGGTAAGAAGTTCAAACGCCGTTCCAGACAGCCACCGTGCACTGATAGTGCCTAGGTCTGAAACACCACACCTGTAAATCCTGCAAAGCCCTGACACCGTCCATTTTGAAGTCAGGGTGGGTGAGTTTGAGGCTGCGGACTAGTTGGTCTCTCAACAATACAGAGTAGTAAGACAAAGAAACATCGGTCTGTCTGACTGCCTGTGTGTCTGTGTGTGCATGCGTACATATGTATGTAAGTATGCACAGGTTAATTAACTGTATGCATGTATATGTACATATGTATGTGTGTATGTGTATCGGTATCTGTATGTGTATGGGTATGCATAGTTGTATGTGCATGTGTATGTACATGTACAAGTATCTGTATATGTGTACGTGTACGTGTACGTCCATGCGTATGCGTATGTGTATGGGTATGTGTATGTGTACGCGCATGCGGAGGCGTATGCGCATGTATGTGTATATGTAAATGTCTCTGTGTATAACATGTCTGTATGTATGTATGCAGTCATGCATGTATGTGTGTAGCTATGTATGTACAGATAGATAGAGTAGAGTAGAGTCGATTGGAGTCGAGTAGGCCTAGAGTAGAAGCAAGTGGAGTAGAGCAGAGCAGACCAGAGCAGATGAGAGTAGAGGAAATTAAACAGGCGCACGGACAGTTCGATAGGTAGATAGGCAGATAGATATCGATCGATAGCTAGACTGAGTGGAGCGATAGGTAGTTAGACAGATAGACAGATAGACAGACAGCCAGCTAGATAGATAGATAGATACAGATACATAGACAAATAAACAGAAAGACAAACAGACAGACAGATAGATAGACAGATAGTTTAAAACAGTAGGTAGGTAGTAAAGTAAAGTAAAGTAATGATATGGTAATATGGATCCCCCCATCCCGGGTCTGACTACAACTGCCCCCAGTTGTATTCTAGCTTGGAAACCCGACCTTCCATGCACCTCGTCATTTTCGAACATCGCCGTTGCACCACCGATGTCCGTCAGGTAAAGCACCGAACTCCAATCCTGAGACCATGTGAAGAAGCTGATTGTTAACACAGCCTACTATAGGGTCCTTAATTAATAAATACCTATACTATTTTGGTGGGGTTCCTTATTCCATTTAAAGTATGATGGGCCCCCAAGCCCTATTCTAATTATGGCCCCATATATGGTCAGGCGTCTGGCGTTCCCAGCCCCCCCGCCCCCCCCCCTCACCCCAATGGTATGGTCTGCTAGGGTGGGGGGGGGGGGGGGCTGGCGTGTGCGGACAGGGGTCGGGGCCGTTGCCACTGGATGGTGGGATGGTGCTGGCGGCCAGGGCTCACACGCAAGCCCTTCGCAAGCAAGCCGTAAACCCTACAATCCCTACAACGCAGCGCGTGCCCTTGTTTTGAGTAACCTTAAGTTGTACTTCCAACCCTACACCTCAAGCCTAAACCCCACCTAACTGCAGGCTCTAAGCCTAAAGCAGAACATACACCGCAAATCCTCCCTAAGCCCTTGTCGACTCGAAGCGTTATACCTTGTAACCGTAAACCCAACACTCAAAAGCTTAAGCTAAACCCAAAACCCCAAAACCCTACAACCACCCCACAGGGGGAAGAGGGACCCCACACCCCACACCACAGGGGAGGGGGGGTCCCACCCTATATCCGGACCATTGACCTTTGAGGGGGGGAGGGGGGGGGCCGCGGAGCGCGTGACCATATATGATAGTACCCTTATAAATCCCTTATGGTACCCCCTTTAAAGGAACCCTACAGCTTAAGGCTACAGGACACAAAGCAACAAACCTGAAATTTCCAGCCCTGCCAGGCCCATTAAAAGCCGAAGGCACTCCAATCTCATAATAGATGGGGGCCTTAAAGGGTTCCTCTAGAGGGATCTACTAGGGCCACTAGGGGCCTTAATAATTTGTGTAGGGTTCCTTAAAGGGTTCCTTGTCAAGGATTCTAAAAGGTTTACTATAAGGGCTACAGTAAGGATTTACTATAACTAGACCCCCCAACTACCTCTCTAATATACCCCAAATGCCTACGATTAAGGGCCATAACGGCTCCGTTAAAGGGCCATTGGGGGGTCCTGGTCGGGGCCTTAAGAATCAGAGTATTGGGCCGTAAAGGGTTCCTGTTAAAGGGGTCTACAAGGGAGTTTCCGAAAATGGGGGTACCTAATTTTGGGGTCCTCATAATAAGGATCCTACTATTTAGGGTACTAGATTGGGGTCCCCCTATTTTCGGAAAATCCCATAAGGATCACAATAAGGGGTACTATGGGGGTTTAGTATAGTAGGGGCCTTAATAATTAGAATAGGGGCCCTTAATAAGTTCTATAGTTAGGCTTTCTATAAGGGCTCTATATAGGGGGCCTTAATCATGCGAATAGGGCTTTGGTGCCCATTTTACTATAAAGAAAAGAAGGAACCCCCAAAAACAGTATGGGTAATTATTAGGTCGAGCTTCAGTCTCAAGATGCGGTTCTTGCAATGAGGAGTTGGGCTGATATAAAGGGATGATCTTGGTTCCCTGAACTTTCTGGGCTGACCTAGACCCAAGAGTAACCTAAGAATAAAAACCGTGCCGTTTTTGTTGGGGCTTACAAGGGAACCTGAACCCCAATAAAAGGGAATAAGGGCCGACTCTAGGTCCCAGTGACAGATCCGAATCAAGCTCGGACAGCGGCAACTCAGATGGAGGTGTGTCTCGGTCAAGTCGGGGCTGTTGCAGACTGAAGTGTTCGTCGAACCGAGCTCGCTTCTGGTGAGAGGTGCGTGAGTGGGTCGTTTGCAGTAATTCAGTGAAAGTCGAGCGGAAAAACTTAGTGTAAATGGAAGCTCAGGCGTTTAGGAGTTTAGGGCTTGCGGTTAACCCTAAACCCCAAATCCTGATCCCCTAAGGGGGTTAGTCGACGATCAAGACCCAAGTCCACGAAACAGCAGTTTTGCTGCAAGTGGCAGGGGCATGTTGTCGACATTATACCTGTTGATCTCCAGCTTTTCAGGTGCGGTTTCGTCTACAAAGGTGAGGATACTGGTAATTACTTTGTTATACTTTGTTGATGGTCGATGCTGCTGCTGCTAATGCTGATGCTCATGTGCTGCTGATGATGATGGCAATGATACGCATGCTGCTGGCGATGACGGCATCGACATTGAGAGCCCTTTGATGGATCAGCTCACCTGGGAAAGGGATATGATCTGCCGACACGGGCTAACATAAAGGTGTTGAAGACACAACTCCTCCACCAAAATCGGCTTTTAACACTGCACGCCAGACCGAAACACGTTGCATCAAAAACACACAAGACCATGGATCCACAAACCCGAAACCCAAGCCCAGAAAGCCCTAAACCTTAAAGCCACCAAGGCTCCGGAAAGAGTTTCGTTGCTTCGTCATGCTCCAGGAAAATGTTGCAGTCCCTGTGGTACACCTGAAGGGCTTCTCTTTTCCTGCGGCGCGCGTCTTCTATTATTGTGGTGAAACTAGACATGGTTGAATCGTGCACATGCGTGTGCATGTGGGTATGTACATATGTATGCATGTGGGCACATCCATCGTTGTGGCTAGATAACACGGTAGAGCGCTAGTGACACGCCCACTGTCGGTCTAGGAGGGTGCATCACTTGCGCATGTGAGACATCACCACAGACTGTTACGTCGTTGATCCACTGCCGTCTCACACAACATCAAGACCCTGCTGTTCTCGGGGTGATATCGTCGCGGGATGCAGCACTTCCGGCCCTGCACCGCACTGCTGAATGCATACATAGATCATACCATATCCGCTGCCGCTTGAGGTCTGCGTGCTAGAATCTATGGCACAGGCAAGGGAGTGGGACAATGCACTCACGCGCGTACCAAAATCTTCAATAGCTTGAAACTCGAGTGGTCTGAGCTTTAACACTCAGTCAGTGAAACAATACTATCGAGGTGTGGGGGGGAGGCGCCAAATACACAGCGGTGAAGGTAGGGTGAACAGCCTTTATAAATGTTCATGAAACTGCACCTGGGCACGTGCTGCTGCAGTAGGCATACAAACGGATGTGGCGTGCGAAGTCTTGCATGTCTATATCTTGCTCACATCCTAAACCCTCCACATGAAGCCCCGAACTGCCAAACTCCTTACGCACTCGAGAACTGATGCACATCCAGTGCAGAAAAATGGCGAAATGGGAGGCTGCTGTGGAAGCAACCCCCCTGCTTTCCCACATGAAACAGGGACCTCTACAATAAGAATAAGGATGTGAGAGTATTCTGGTATAGGTACAGCGAGATTTAAACAGGATATGACTAGCTATTAAAACCTAATCCCACGGGTCTATGTGGCCAAATAGTATATACATTTGTCTTAATGTAGGCCCTATTTAGCTACTGTGGGGCCAAAGTATATATATATATATACATATATATTCATATACTATTTGGGTACATGGAGTCCACAAAAAAGCTAGCTAAACCCCTTAACCCCTAAACCCCAAATCCCTAAGCCCCTAAACCCTAAAGCCTGTACCCCAATTCTTCGGACCGCATTTGACTAGTTTTCCTCTGCCGCTGCCTTCGGAGGATCGGTTTCGTCGACATCCTTTCATCCGGAAACGTGTACTTTTGGGGCCTTAATGATTTGAATGGGGTACCTTAAAGGGTTCCTTCAAAGGGATCTATAATTAGGGTTCCTATAAGGGCTTTATATAGGGGCCTTAATAATTAGAATAGGGTTTAGGGGCCCATTATACTATGATTATAATGATAAGGAAACACCGAAATGGTATAGGGAATTGTTACGGCCCCTATGTTAGGGTTTAGGGTTTAGGGTTCACTGTCAAGGGTTTGAGGTCGAGTGCTTAGATTGTAAAGCTTTAAAATTGGGCAATTCGTCCCACACTCTGTAACACCTAAACTCTGTAGCCTAAAACATCGTTTAACATAGAATACTCAGCACGCGAGCAGGGAGCCCGGGTGCGACAAAATCTCAAAAGTCATCTCGGTGCAGTTGAAGTACAATTCCTCATTTATTTATGCTGAGCCAGCCTTAACCCCTCAACCCCAAACCCGAAACCCCAAACACTGTGATACAAACCCGAAACTTAAACCCTAAACAGAAACAAACATTCGCCCCAAAGCCTGACCATGGCTCTGAAAAAATCAACCCACAACCAGCCTGAAACCCAAGGACCGAAACATGGACCCACTAAAACCCCAATCCCAAAAGCCCTACCTGTCAAAGGGGAAAAGGAAGGACCCTTAATGGGGACCCTACGTACCCTACAGTGGGCTATATAATGGGTATATAATGGCTATATTATGGGTATATACCTAGGGGTCCTTATTAGGGGTCCCTCCTTTTACCCTTTGAACCTGGGTTTAGGGTTTAGGGTACCTCCAAAGTCGAAAACGCAAAACCCGAGAAACCTTACGAGGCCCGACGACATGCCTTAAAGCCATAAGCCCAACATTCCGGAACCCTACCCTAAACCATAAACCCTAAACCCAAAGGGTCCTATGTACCGATATAGTAGAATGTAGGGTTTCCATACTAGGAACTACTATCATGACTTAGGGAAGTATCCCCCAGAACAGTAATTACATAGGAACTTTTGGGAAACCCGAAGACCCAAACTTTTTGGAAGCCCGGGTGTCCTGCCACCACCATTCGGCGCCAATCGCTTGGCCAACCACGGCTGAGATGCCTCGCGCATGCCCTAAACCCTAAACTCCTTCACCTATACCCTAAACCCTAAACCCTAAACCCTAAACCAAAAACCCTAAACCCTAAACCCTATACCCTAAACCCTAAACCCTCAACTCCTTCACCCCAAACCCTAAACTCCTTCACCTAAGTCACCTAAACCCCAAACTCCTTGACCTAAACCCTAAACCCTAAACTCCTTCACCTAAACCCTAAAGCCTAAACCCTTCAAAGTATCCTACTCTAATGCAGCCCAAAACACATAAATGCTCTCCCAGGCACGGGGGGCCTCAATTACCTAGAATTGGGTTCGCGGGTATGGAGACCCGCTTGGGGGCTTGGGGTTTTAGGGTTCAAGATTTTGGGGCTTCAGGGAGTTAGGTCTCAGTAATTATTTGCATTTAGTGTTTGGAGTTCCTTGCTTCTTGACCTGAAACTTGAGGAATCCCCCGGGCTATCTCCAGTCTGCCGAGATGCTGGGATGGCAGAAGAGATCTGCGATCAGCGCATCGACAGTGTTCTGTGGCGGCGCGTCCAGCGGAGTCTGCGCACAAGGACGCTCATGAAGTTGAACGATCGTGTGGAAGCGGGTGGAAAACTCCGAATTGCTCGTGTCTAGGTTTAGGACAGTTCAGGATCCCAGAGACTCCAATATTCCTTACGTAAGGGATGTTGGAGTCTCTGGGATATAGGTCCGAGACTTGAGTCGCGATGCTCTGCCGCGAGCAAACTAGCAGCAGAAAGCGGAACCAAATCCCGCCGGAGAGAGAGCGAGGAAACCCACTTAAAGGATCATGGGACAGGGTAACTTAGTAACTAAGGTTATTATTCGGATAACTATACTTATATAACTGCTTGTGATCCCAATTAGGGTACTTATAACCATACTTACCAAGTCCCATGATCCTCTAAGCAGCAGAGTTCCTTAGAGACGATTGTCCTGCAGGATAGCAGCACCAAAATGCGATGCAGACCCGATGTCCCTACAAAATCACGGAAGCCTAGGCCCCTCCCCCTCAAACTTCAAGAATAAACCCGAAAACCCTGAACCCCCCCATCCAACTCTGCCCAAAACTCTTACAGAGATCTGGAAGGTCTGAAAACGCCAAGGGCCGGACCCAGAAGGAAGCCGTGAGCACTCCTTCTGCAGCGACAGGGGTGGGACATCCAGCGAGGAAGTCCCGCAGTACCTCGGCCACTTGCTTCTCGATGATTTAGAAGCCTTAAACCATCCTAAGCCATACATGGAAGGCCTTTACTGCCCTTCAGTCTATTCGATCCAGAATTGCAGACACTACATGCAGACACTACAAGTTCCGAACTAACCCTACACACTACAGACCCTAAACACGGCGTTGGAGTCCCTGGTTCCATGTCCACCCACCGGGGCCCCGGCTTTCACAGTCTCGGGCGCCACCAGGGACTCCAACACAGAGGCGTTGGGGCGCGCCATGCCATGCCCCACGGCTTTAGGGCTTTGAGGGGTTTAGGCTTTTGAGCTTTGGGTGTTTCAGGGTTTAGGGTTTTGAGGTTTTGAGATTGAGGGTTTAGACTTTGGAGGTTTAGGCTTGAGGGTTTTGGGTTTGTAGGGGCTTTAGGGTTTTGGGGTTTACGGGTTAGGGTGTGTTGTTTCGGGGTTTAGGGTTTCGGGTTTGGGGTTTAGGATTTTTAGGGTTGGTGTTTAGGGTTTAGATTTTGCGGTTTGGGGTTTAGGGTTTGGGGCTTAGGGGTTTGAGGCTTGGGGTTCAGGGTTTAGGGTTTTGAGGTCGAGGTTAGGGTTTTGAGGTTTGGGGTTTTGGAGTTTCGGGTTTTGGGTTTGGGGTGTTGGATTTAGGGGTTTAGGTTTAAGGTTTAGGATGAAACTTTCGTTCGTTTCAACGTCTAGGATTCTGCGTTGCTCAATCCAAGGATTGGGGTCTCAAAGTGCTCGGAGGGACTTGGGTGCGGGCTCCTGGGCTGTCACTCTCAGGTAAGGCTCCCGCCCCCCACACTGCTCATGTAATATGGCGCTGGATTTATGGTCCTGTGAATAGATTGAAGGTACTTTGGCTTTGGTAGACGGCAGGAACCTGGGCACACCTTGTGTTAGCTGGTATTGCGTTTCTCTCGCGGTAGTGCTGTTGCTGCTGTCGCTCCTTTTGCTGCCACTGCTGCTTACCGTGCTCACTCCTGCCCATCTGGTCAATCACTACAACATGGAGGTCGATGTAGTTAGTAGGATGCTTCTTATGAGGAGTGGTCCCCTAATTTCTTGTCACTGCCCTGCGAGAAGCGGTCATGCAAGCAGAGGCCTCGATCCTAAAAGCGGCTCTGCATTGTCTGGGTAGGGTTTATAGTGGTGTATACCCTTTATACCCTCGGAACCCCTCAAGCTGGTCTCAAGGACTTGAAAATCAGTCTAGAAGTGCTCGAATAAGGCAACAAAAAATATCCTTCAAGCGCTCACTACCGGGTCGATAAAGGCTCTATAAGGCATCGGTAGAAAAGTTTGTGACATCAAAACCAGCAACCAGGAGCATTGCTTGGAGGATCATGGGACTTAGTAAGTAAGGTTATAAGTTATAAGTACCTTGATTGGGGTTATAAGTAGTTAAAAGTATAGTTACCCTAATAATAACCTTAGTTAATTACTAAGTCCCATGATCCTTTGAGTGGGGTCCTGCCTAAAAATATAAGACTTGAGCATGGAAGTACCCTTGAAGAAGCCTTGATACTCCGGCCCCGGGTGTGCAAGGCATGGATGCATACTTTGGCGCTCTGACCTTATCTTCATGTGCCCGGTGGCTAGGCCCAGAAATGACATGCCCTCGAACCTTCAACTCTGAATCCTGCTCCTTGTTGGTTGGTTTAGCATGGCTGGTACTTGCAAGCAGCTTCCCCAGCTTGAGTTTGAAAAGATAAGCTGGTGAAGAGCCTCTATGCTGAGCCCGGTGCGATCTGCGCTCAAGCACAACATCCCGTCAAGGTAAAGCCAGTCTGCTGACTGTCCCAAAACTGCTAAACCCCATGCGGTCCCCAAGCCCCAAACCTAAAAGCCCTGAGCCTTGGCCCTATATTCGAAGCCCTGAAACCTGATCTCTCATCTCCGGCCTGCTCTTTCTCTTCCCTCGCCTGCATCGTTTAGGGCTTGGGGGGGCGGGTTTAGAGCTATTGGTAGCTACTGGCAATACGAAACCCGAACCCGAATCCTACAATCCCGAACCTCAAAAGAAAGATAAGCCTTTGGACTCTGAACCCGAATTCGTCCTCTTGTTTTCAATCCCTAGGCGCCCCGAAATCCTCAACCCTAAAGTGTCTCGAAGGCCTCCTCCTAGAATTTACAGGAGCCCAGGTCATAGAGCAAGGAGCTCGTGTGGCACAGGAATAGGGGGCCGAAAGCTTTATCATAAGGGTTGTATAGCTACATAGGTTCTATACCATACCAAGAGTCTCATACCCTACCCCTTTCCCAAAGGCTCCATGTACCCATATAGTAGGCACTTAGGCCTTAAAGTAACCATATAGGGACCCCTTTAAGGCCAAAGTACCTACTATATGGGTACATGGAGCCTTAGGGTTTCTTAAGGCGCCTACTTTTTAAGATAACAGATCCTAACCATAATACTAGGTATCGCAAAAAAGGGGTAGGGTATGAGCCTCTAGGTAGAGTTCTATGAGGGTTCTACGAGGGTGTGGCTTTCACAAGTTGGAGTCTTCTTAAATCCTAAAGCTTCCGGGTCGCATACCAGGAACCCCCAATGGCCCTTTAATGGAGCCCTTATGGCCCTTAATCGTGGGTATTTGGGGTATATTAGAGAGTAGTTGGGGGGTCTAGGTGCTTGCAGAAGTAGAAGGCAGGGTTTAGAGTATAGGAAGGGGAGTTTCCGACAGTGAGGGGTACCTTATTTGGGTCCTTATAACAAGGATCCTACTATTTAAGGTACTATATTACGGTCCCCAATTTTCGGAAAGCCCCGAATGGCAGTTCAACGTCTAGAGAGGGTTGAGAGTTTCTACCGTTTGATTGATACTTACAGGCCTGAATGCTTGCAGAGCTTGGACTTTCTGCGGCTCCAAAAGCTCACGATCAACCCAAAGATGCGGATCAACACGCGAATCAACCAGGACGCTCAAGTACGGCCGTAGAATACTAGCCCAGAGACTCCAAGATCCTTTAATTAAGGAATATGCCTTAAATTATGGTAGGATCCCTAATAAGATCTAAGGAATATTCCTTAATTAAGGGATATTGGAGTCCCTGGAGTGCAATCAACCCGCAGGTTCACGCAACCTGTTCGGCCCTGCTCGCATGCAAGGCAGCTTTGCCTCCTCTGCCTGCGCTGCTTTCATAGCAGCCTGCGTCGCGGTGCGCCCTAAACTTAGTAAACCCCAAACCCTAAGGATAGAAAGGCAAAAGCTGCGAAGTGAATCAATACTTTGAAAAACGCAGTAGTACTTCGGCATATCAACCAAAACAAGAATCTGACCGTGGGACTAGATGTGAGCCACTAAAGCGGCTGAATCAAGGAATCTGCGTGATCTACTACTATAGGGGCCTCAATGATTAGAAACGGGTTTTGGGTTGGGGTGTGAACGAGAGGGACCTGCACATTGGCCAGCTTTAGACCCGAAGCTATTTGCCCTGAATGCCGAAACCTACAACTCTAAATCTCAAGCTCAGAACTGCAAACCTATAGTTGTCAAAACAGGAACCCTAGGGAAGGACATTATACTAGCCGTTGCAACCTGTATGTTAAATCCTAAACCCGAAACCCTACCCCTACATGGACCGTAGCAACTTTAGAAGCTTCGACCGACCCCCCCCTCCCCCCTTAGCCTCCTGAGTCTGCAGCGACTCCAACCTTCGATCGGCGGCCTCTCAAAGAATTAAACTGCAGCGTTGAAGGCATGATTTGAGGCTGGATAGGCGCAAGGGCTTAGGTTTAGGGTTTACCTAGACCCCCCAACTACCCTTTATTGTAGTCCCTAACTACCTCTTAGTCTGAACTATTAGAGCCCTTTAAAAGGTACCTGGGGGGTGCTGGTAGGGTTACAGTCCCCCCCCTAAACCCTAAACCCTAAGCCCTAAACCCCAAGCCCTATTTTAGGGTTTGGGTTTCGAGATTTCATGCCCGAAGGCCCGGTTTCGCCTGTGGAACTTTTCGAGTTTAGGAATTAACCTATAGTCTCCATTGTAGTTCCTTTTGGTTAACCAGTTTTCTGGTCAGGATCCTATAATAGAGATTTTGGTTAACCAAAAAAAGGAACTACAATGGAGACTATAGGAATAGTGTGGAGAGTTTGGGAAGCTTAGGAATTCAGATTTGGGGGGTTCCGGAAGGGGTACCTCATTTACCATAAGGATCCTATAATTTAGGGAGTTCATCACCAGGACCCCGTGGGTATTTGGGGTATATTAGAGGGTAGTTGGGGCGTCGAAGCTTAGGAATTCAGATTTCGGAGAGGGGACAGGACATCGGGGCTTGGGGGTCTCTGGTTGAGGGCTTGGGAGTAAACGGCCATACCCTAAACCCTAAACCCCTACATCCCTAAACCCTAAACCCTAGTTGTTGAACCGCATCTTGGCTGGGTGTACAGCGTAGGGTTCAGGATTGTCGGGCCTTGTAGCGCTCACTTAAAGGATCATGGGACTTTGTAACTAAGGTTATTATTAGGTAATTACACTAATAACTACGCATAACACCAATTAAAGTACCTATAACCTTACTTACTGAGTCCCATTATCCTCCAAGCATTGTAATTCCTTTTCTAGAGTTGGTGAGGCGGGTTTGGGACTGCTTTCACACACGGCTTGTAGCCACGTCACGTGCAGTTACCGTTGAAAAACAAAAACAGCCATACTCCAAAGTCCAAAGGAGCCATGGACGCAAGCCGGAAGTGCAAGATCGCCGGTTGCAAACAGCAGCAGCCGCGCCAGCACAATCATCAGCATGACAAAATCCAATCGTTGCTTCTGATCTTCCCGCATAGATAGCAACACTATCAACTGCATGTGTGTATCACATGTGTATCACAGCGCCAGAGCCGATGAACTAGCCGCACTAGCCGACTAGTTCATCATGTGAGCATTCCGCTTGAAGTCAAGTTTCACTCCGACACCTGCGCGCGAGGCACGTCCGACACCTGCAGCCCCCCAAAAAATCCTAAACCCTAACCCTCCAAACCCTACCTGGACCCCCCGCTACCCTTTATTGTAGTCCCTAATTACCTCTTAGTGAGAAATATTAGATCCCTTTAAGCGGTACTGGTAGACCTTAAACCCCAAACCCTAAACCCTGAACCCCAAACCACCACCTCCCCCCCTCCACTCCCCAATAATACAGAGCGGAACCCTGGAGTTCTTCGTGCCTCCAGCACTGGGGAGAGATGGCAGTGCTGGTCCTTGCGATGACTTGTGATGCAGAGATTCAGGTAGGGTTTAAAGTTACTTTAGGGTTTCGGATTTACGAGTAATATAGGGGCTACATTTTGGAGGTTCCTTATTATAGTATAGAATGAGGGTTTCTTGGCTGACTTCTGAACCCCTCCTAAAAGTTAAACTTTCAGCCTCCTTATTATATTATAGTTCATATAGAAGCCCGAAACGTTAAAGTCTAAAGAGCCAACCAGAAGAACACCAAGGTTTAGGGTTATTTTAGGGTTTTGGATTTAGGAGTAACATAGGGGCTAGATTTTGGAGGTTCCTCATTATAATATAGAATAATGGGCCCCCAAACCCTATTCTAATTATGAAGGCCCCTATAGTACAAGTCGGAAGCTTTGATCTTAGGGTCTTCGGTGGAGGGGCCTTCTGTCCAGGCTCCCAGGCGGCTGTGAGATCCCTACGTTCCAAGGGTAGAAGGAGGAACCCTGAATAAGGACACCTAGGTATATACCCTTAATATAACCATTATATAGCCCATTATAGGGTAGGGGTCCCCATTATGGGTCCCTCCTTTTCCCCTTTGATACATGGGACGATGCGCGCCTGCGCACTGGGGGAGTGAAGCCTTCAAGTCGTGTAACCCAGGTCTCCAGATCTCCAGACTCCAGACTCCAGACAGGACGGACATGCTTAACCCTAAGTTTCTAAGGACTCATATATTAAGGCGTTTGGGCCCAAGACCGTACTATATAAGGCTTTTGGGCTATTTTGAGCCTTAGGGTAAGGTAGGTTGTAGGGACACTTCATGGCGCTTCTGAAGTTGTTGCGGCTTTCCATGCGCAGTCATAGCACCAGTCAAGAGCAGATTGTTCAGGTCAGAGCAAACCTAATAAGGCCACAAAAAACTGAAAAACTCAATGATATGGAGACTTACAAGCCCGATTTATCAAGGCAGTGCTTCCTGAATTTATGAGCTCCTGTCTTTGCATTCCCAACCGCAGCGTGCCCACTATGCACAAGTTCGTCCTCCGGCCAGTGCTGCAGCGTGTCACGCAGGTGCTCCACTAGACCTCCGACAAAACTTAACCCAAGCGAAAGCCGCCAGGTAATATAGGGGCCTTACTAATTACAATACATATAACACCATTACAATCAGCCCCCCTCCAAAAACAAAAAATGCAAAAAAAAAACAACAAAAAAAATAAATAAATATATATATATATATATATATATGTATATATATATATTATGTATATTGTGGTAATTATCTAGGCCCCTTGAAGGCTCGGGTTCTCAACCTTGAGAGAGCCCTAAAACCTGAACCATACGGTTGAGGGCTTCGCATTCTTCAAGCCTGGTTCGGCCTGTTCTGGTGGCGCCGACTTCTCGTCACTCGGCACGATTTGGGAACTTCAGACAGAGGGGAGCAGAAGGTCACGCCCAAAAGGAACCCCCCAGATGAAGAAACTAGCGACTTCTCAAACACCGGACCCGGGTTGCTTCAGGTTGCCGTGTTAAAGAAGATGAAATGAAGCAAATGTCACTGGGCCCCTAAATTCGAAATGTCGAAGTTTGAAAATTACTCCTATCGACGCCCCCGCCTCCCGAGCTGCCACAGAAACGTGCAGACAAGTTCCTATCTTGATAAAACCCTTTTCCGGAAACTTGGACACACAGTTTTAGTTTTACGTAGTCGCTTGACCCGAGTCAGCTTGCCAAAGGACGATGGACAGGCGACTCTTGAAAGCTTGCAGATAGGGGCTGCGGATTTGGTTTTCGGCTTCGCAGAGTCAATTGCTTCGGGGCTGAATTCGGACCCTAGGGGGGTTGAGCGGTTAGGGCTAAGGGGCAAGGGGTTTGGGGATTTGCATGTTCAGGGTGTTAGGTTTTGGAGCCCCTATTTGCAAACTTCAGATTTCGGGACATGAACTTGCAGACTCTGAGCCAACGCCCGAAAGCCCAAATCGAACACACCCAACTGCACAAAGCACGCTACTCTTACTTCTGGTTAGACCTACCGCTTGGGGCATGAACAACTTCAACAGGCTTTCGCTTTCACCAGTACACATATGCAGAGTGTGGCGATCTTCACGACAAGCGTTTCAAGAAACGGACAAGATCTCAAAGATCCTTGTAGATTCATGAAAGTGCTCTATCTGGTAGGCCCTGTTGCAAGCCTTACAGCATCCCCCTCAGATCCCTGGTAACCTTAGGGCAGCTCTCCGAAACTCCACTTGGGCGTCTGCGGAGGAGATGTGCAGAGGACTCTGCAGCCTGTCGAAGAGAAAGGGGGCTAACCTCTCTGTATATATATATATATATATATGCACACACTATGTAGGTATAAACTTTGATTCTATGTAATACACTTACATACGGTTACATACGTGTATATATTCACACATACGTTTACATGTATCTATATACTTGTCTATTTCTTTCTGTATTTATCTACTCTTGCATCTGTACATACACACGCATGTGTATGTGTATGTATATTTATATAAGTATATGTGTATATATATACACACATATACATGTGCATGCCGACTTAGAGCCGTAGGTTTTATCACCACGTAGGATGCTGTTAAACCCCTAAGTCACGAATCTTTTAATCCCCAACCCCCTTCACTCCTAAACCCCTAAACAGTTAAACACCAAACCCTCAAGCAAAGGACAAAAAAGTGTATGTTCTGTCAGGTTTCCGGTCCTGAACCTTATAATGGCAAAAACCAACATCCAAATGACAAACAAAAACAAAAGAACAACCACCCAAAGCCGCACACTGCCGAAAACTGTAGACTTGAACCCTATAAGGTTTCTATAAGCCCTAACCGCCTAACCCTTAAAGCCTCAAACGCCCTTTAACCCTGAACCCTCGATCGTTTCGCCGGCAACGGCAAAACGGTGTAAGTCGGTGCAGGAGTGTGTTTCTTGTTGCACCGCTGGTTACGCACACAAGCAACACCTGAACATACCTGAACCAGCGAAGCATGTAAACGAGGTGGCGGGCCTACCATGACCATCGGACCATTGAATGCGGTTCGCAGGGTCCAAGTACCTAATAATCATAGGTTCTTACTCACGCACACATACACACACTAACGCCTCGAACCCAAACACCTCTCATATTTGTAGTGTCTGAGCTTAAACCGACTGTCGTCTGGGTGTCCACAGCAGAAGCTTTACACTTCAAAATATAACCCTTCTAGAACCCTCAAACCCCTACAGTAGACCCCAAAACCTTAAACCCCAAACCCCGTAAACCCTAAAACCCTAAACCCCTTAAACCCTAAATCCCTAAACCCCAAACCCCTTAAACCCTAAATCCCAGACCCTAAACCCCCAAACTCGACACCACAAACCTTCAGTGAGTACAGAACCACTTAGGCGAGCCTCCACTCGCGCAGAGAGGGCTTCGACCAGCTCGGTGGTCTCCGCAACAGGCGGTTTAGGGTCTAAGAATCTTCGCTGACTTCTGAACCCCTCCTAAAAGTTAAACGTTTAGCCTCCTTATTGTAATTCATATAGAAACCCAAAAAGTTAAAGTCCTACGAGACAACCGGAAGAACGCCAAGGAATAGGGGCCTTAATGATTAGACTCAGGGTTCCCTTTGAAAAGATCTTTCGAAGGGTCGGTTCGGAATCTATCAGACGAGGGTTCTATGTATTGGCCTTAAGAATTACCTGTACTATTTTGGGGGTTCCTTATGATGTATAGTTACAGTATAGTGGGCCCCACAACTCTATTCTAATTATACAGGCCCCCGTAGTAGGGGTTTAGGCCCTAAACCTTATGGTTTAGGACTTCGAGCTTAGGCTTTAGAGCTTTGGGTTTAGAGCTTCGGCCTTTTTTTTTGAGAATCGGGTTTAAAGTTTAGGGTTTAGGGCTTCATGGGTTCAGATTTGGGGTTGGTGTTGCTCCAATTGCGTACTACGGCTCATGGCATAAATCCTGCATTACCTTAAGGACCCTAGACTATGGGGTTATGGTATATTCCTTATTATGGGCAATGTAAGGGATCATGACTTTCTATTGTGTCGGGTTTAAGTTCCAGGTTAGGGGGGTAGGGTTGAGGAGCACAGTTTGGTTTAGGGGTTTAGGGTTTGGGGTTCGGGGTTGTTGGGCTTAAGGTGTAGCGAGTCAATTTCGGATGTTTGATATACAGTGCCGCTGGTGCCGTTCGCATGGGTCTGGACCACACTACGTGTAGCCGTGAAGCCAGCAGCTACATGAGGTCGCTAGAAGACACAGCGAGTTCGCGAACGACTTTGACTGCATCTGCGTACAGCTAAGGTACCCGTTGATTGAAGCATTCTGCTGCGGTACAATCAACCCATATGGATATTCTGTGGCATCAAAGAAAGGCAGTCAGCAACATGGTAAGCCCATCAACCGCCCGGCTACTGCGGCAACTGGATTGCAGTAAAACGATTGGATTGGTATGCAAATACCCACAGGCCCCAAAGTAGTTTGGGGTTCATATATAGAATCCTGTAAGGTAATCCCAACAAGGAACTACTTTGGGGCCTTAGGGTAAACTCATGTGGAAAACCTGAGCGCTAAATCCTTGACATGCAGAACTTCATCGAATCCTGACCAAAGAGCAGCCCACGACTACCCTAAGGCTCCATGTGCCCATATAGTAGTTACTTAGGCCTTAAAAGGGTCACTATATGGGCACTTTAAGGCCTAACGGTTGATGATACAAATCCTGCATTACCTTACGGACCCTAAACTATGGGAATTATGGTATATTCCTGATTATGGGTCATGCAGGATTTGTATCATCAACCGAAGTACCTACTATATGGGTACATGGAGCCTTTGGGTAAACATCAGAAGCCGTCCAACGCACCTTCCTGCGAGAAGCCTCCGCGGTTGCTGCATCGCCTCGGGATTGCGCTAATCTAGGGGCCGGAATATTGACAGTTCCTGTTCCTTTAAGGGTTACTATAAGGGTTACCATAAGGGCTACTATAAGGGTTACTATAAGGGTTGTACTAAGACTATAGGGTTTAGGGTTCTTAGTACTTCAATACCATGCTGTGATATTCCGTCCATAACACCCTGTTCCAAGTATTAGATTAATAAGGAACCCATATAGCATGTCTGTTCGGATGGACTGATTACATAGGTGCATAATGTAATGGCCTGAGTTATTGCGGTGGATGATATAAACCCTGCATTACCTTAAGGACCCTAAACTATGAGAATTATGATATATTCCTTCTTATGGGTAATGCAGGATTTATATCATCAACCGTAAGAACAGGGTCTTGGGGTATATATACTGTACTACAAGTAGACGAAGGAACCTGAAGGATGAGGAGGAGGAGGAGGACGACGACTGCTGCTACTACTGCTACTACTACTGCTACTGCTACTGCTACTGCTACTGCTACTGCTACTGCTACTGCTACTGCTACTGCTACTGCTACTACTACTACTACTACTACTACTACTACTACTACTACTACTGCTTACTGCTACTGCTACTACTATTACTTCACTAATCAGATCTTATTTTCCCTAAATACTGTGGAAAACTTATGCAAAAGCCCGTATTGGAACATGTGCATGGGGAGTTCGACCTGGGATGGGTGCTGCATGTGTCACTGCGGCCTGCGCCCTCTCCGGTCCCTACTCTAGGCTAAGGGTCTGTGGGTTAGGCTTCTGGAGTGGCTGATGGATGCCTGTGGATTAGGATTAGGGTTTAGGCTTAAGGCTTTCAACGAGCTTTGCAAGCCTGTCACAGGGATTCTCTTCACACAACGCAATCTGCTGGGCTCCGACAGTAGGCCTCCGGCCGCCAGTATCGATCGACACCCGTCGAGGTTTCTGCAAGCAGCATCGGGTCAGCGACGGGGCCGCAGGAATGGGAATGAAAACATGGGCTCGCACCTTATGCAAACATCCTCGCCATAAACAGACTGTGGGTCAAGACTGACGAAACCACGGTTTTTGCGAGGAAGGGCGGGTAGGCAGCAACCTTGTGCAGACAACCCGGCGAAAGCTGCCTGTTGAACTGACTGCTGACAGCGACTCGAAACCTACACGCCAGAGTCACCAGAGCTGACGTCAAAAATACAGAGCAGCACATCAACTGTTCGATCTCACAGTCCTCTCTCTCGATATATATATATATATATATATATATATATATAGTTATAACTGCAAGTATATATATATATATATGCATATATACATATACAGATACCTGTACATGTCTTTAGTGGCACCTTCAGCACCTTGGTCTTCAGCTCTCTGACGCACCTGCGGCAAAGGGTTGGACATGAGCCCGGCCGGTTCGGCTCTGACTATCTTGCCTGTTGCATGTACTATCATTGCGTCGTGGTAGTGGTAGCGGTAGTAGCAGTCAGCAGTAGCTGGAGGAACGAACCATGTAGTAGGTACAATGTAATGAATGGATGTCGGTAGCCATTAGTAGGTGGTAGTTGTCGTTACCGTGTTTGTGGCATCGTCGTCGTCGTCAGTGTCGGCTTCGGCGCCGGCGTCGTGGCGTTGTCGTTGTTCTTGTTGCTGCTATTGCGGTTACTGCTGTTGCTTTTGATGCGGTTGGTGATGGCATTTCTGCTGCTTTTGCCCTGGACCGTCCATTGTCGTCGTCGGCGCCGCCGGCGTCCCTGTCAGCTTCGTGGTGCTTGTTGCTGCTGCTGTCGCCGTTAACGTGGCCACTGTGGTAATTGGTAGTGTCGTCGTTGTTGTTGTTGTTGTCGCGGTCGGCGTTAGCGGATAACTAGCGTTGTCGCTGAAGACGTCCCTGCTGAGGATCACAGCGTGTCTGCTCCGAAGGTTGTGATCGCAGTTCTTGCTGCTAACGCTGCAGGCTGCAGCTGTCAAGGGATGTCGCTGCCAATGTTATTGTCAAGTTACTGTAGATGTTGGTGATCCGCACACCCTGTATCGAACCCTTTTCAAACAAACTCGATCTTATGACGCCTTTCTTAGAGCCTGTAATAGGCTCGTATGGAAACGTTACGAAGCCTATGCCGTTGGAAACTTTGCAAAGCCTTTGCTCAAGCTGTAGTAAAACCTAGTTCATGGTTGCGATAGGATCAAAAATTTAAGTTCTTACTCCTTATTGAGTTTAAGTACCCCTAAACATGTAAAAGGTTACCAAACTATGACAAAGAAACGGTTCCAGAACTAAAGTCGGAAAACCTAAACTGATACCGAATGGCATTTGCCAGATGTGCCCAGTCACAACTTGCATGAACACCACAAGCGTTGAACCCCAAAACCCAACACGCTAGCCGCTAGACCCTCCACAACCCCAGCCTCTGAACCGAAAACTTTTTACCCTAAGCTCTAAAAGTCTACTTTTCTTCGTTATGGATTCTTAAATCACATCAATGAAGCCTCACAAATCCTGAAGTCCAAGCCATAAACCTTCAACCCGAGACCCTGTACCCTTAAAGGGAAGCCTATTCTAGCTATTAAGGCCTCTACATTATCGTAAGCCTTATATAACTCTTATAGTAACCCTGATAGTAACCCTTATAGATCCTGTATAGTAGCCCTTATAGAACCCTTATAGCAGCCCTCATAGTCCCCTTTAAAGGAATCCTTCAGAACGCCCCACCTTGCATGGCGATTCGCCACCTCCCGCTCGGCTTTGATCTGCTCCTGCTCTGGGAATTGGGTTTAGAGGCTTAGGGGTTCAGTGGCTTAGGGATTTAGGGGTTCAGGGTTTAGGGGTTAGGGGTTTAGGGGTTCAGGGTTTAGAGTTTAGGGGTTTAGGGATTTAGGGGTTCAGGGTTTAGAGTTTAGGGGTTTAGGGATTTAGGGGTTCAGTGTTTAGAGGTTTAGGGTTGAGGAGTTTGGTGTGTTGAGGGTTTTGCAGCTTCTTTAGCCTCGGCTAATGCCAAGTAAGTACTTGGCAGCTAGAGCAAACCAAATCCGAGACCGACGTCTTAAAGGATCCTACGCGTCCTTATCGAAGAAGTTCAATGCGATTTGTCGTCCAATGTCGCGCAAAATCGAAAGTTCGAGCAACAACTCTTGAAATGTGTCCCCTTTCGGCAAGATTCTTCTACTTCCACAACACAAAACCAAACTTTTTCTCAAACTCTAAAAATCAGTCAGGCTTTTCGATCGCTCGCGGAACTTGGCAAACAGCCTCCTCGAGAACCTGTTCAAGCTGTTCGAGTTTGCGCCAAATTTCGTCAACGTCGGCACGCTGCTGCTGCTGCTCCTGCTCCTACTCCTACACCTACGGACCAACTTCTATCATCGCTGCTGCTGCTACTGCTACCACTACTACTACAACTGCTACTGCTACTGTCACTGCTACTCTGCCACTGCTATTACTAAAGGAACTTTAGGAACTCTAGAACACCGGCAACCTTGAACTCAGCAACACACCAGTCCAAAACCCGAAAGCCGGAAAGCCCAAGCCCTTGGACCAGCCCGATCTCGATACCTCGCAGCCCTGCGTGACGAAGAGTTCTGAAAGCAGAGAAACGGTGGATGATATGAATCCTGCATTGCCTTAATTGTCCTAAACTATGGGAATTATGGTATATTCCTTATTATGGGTAATGTAGGATTTATATCATCAACCGAACTCAGCCGAACCTGAGTTCAGAAACCCTATATCCAAATCCGCTGAACCGTAAGCCCCATGTTCACTAGTCACTAATCATCTCCTTGCAAAGGCTTATGTAACACTCGATCAGAAAGAAGCCTTAAACAAGTCTGACACTGGGCTCGCCAGAACCCACGGCATCGCAAGTCCTGAAGTTTCAAGAGCTCTTCAAGGGACCTGTAGCATCGGGATACGGTGCGCCAGCACCGGGCTAGTGCCCAACGCTACATCCCCCTTGCAGTACGGGTTTACGACAGCCCAGACCCGGAAAATATGAACAGCCTCCGTAGGTTTTAGGGTATTGGCTGTAATTTGCATGGTTTAGCAGGTCGACAACACTGTACTATCGGGGCCTTAATAATTAGAATAGGGTTTTGGGGCCCACTCTACTATGCTTCTAATTTAATAAGGACCCCCAAAAAAAGGAAAGGACAAAATTGAGGCCCCTATAGTAGAGGATAACACTCAACATCCTCAAAAAATGCCGAAGAGCCACTGGAAGATATCAGGTCTCCTTCAGCGAATAGAGCATACCCTACTTGGAGGATCATGGTTACTAGTGAGGTTATAAGTGGGTATCCATAGCTATAACCCATATCAGGGGACTTATGACCCCATTTAGAACCCCATGAACTTCCAAGTAAGCCTGGAAGCCCAACTACCTGTAGAGTAGGATACGGTATCCCAGAAACTACGGCCCTAAGACCTGAATCTTAACCAGTCAAGCTCAAAACCCAAAACCCTTACAACACCACACAGAAGCGAAGCGTTAACCGTTAGCAAACCTGTACACAAGGCATATCATCTCTCTTTATACACCAAGGTGGTGACCCAATCAATGTAGAGGCCAAAATACGTACTCAACAATGATATTCCAAGCTGGTACCCCTAAACCCTGATCATGTTTAAGCCCCGCGAAGCCCTGGAAAGCCTCGAAACAACCAAAGAACCTCATTGAAATTGTGAAACAGACAAAAAAGACCCGCTGTAATTGTGAAGGCTGATGCCCCTATCTTGAAACCCGATAACAGCCTGTACAAACACTACGAAACCGTTGAGCAAGCATACAAGAAACCATTCCAATCTGTAGAGCCCCTATGTTACAGACATCGCCGCCTTGGCAAGTCTGCAGTCAAGCCAAAGGCCTTTGCCGACTCCTGCAGAGCAGGCAGTCGGTACGCGAAGGGTTTAGGGCTCAAGGTTTCAAGGCTTTGAGGGTTTGGGGTTGAGGCGAGTTTCGTGGTAGGAACAGCAGTGTAGTCTTGTAGTATATCGCACATTTACAAAACCGCATGGTTGCTGCAGAACTTGAGGAACATTTATAAATACGTCCAAGATACTATGTTACATTATACTACGGTCCTTACGACAAGAGGCCCCTGAAGAAAGGAGGACCCCAGATTGAGGCCAGCATATCAGCGTCCTTAAGCCTGTAAGAATGCCTGGAAACCTCACAACTCTAAAGCCTGCTGGAATCCTCATTCATAACCCCAAAGCCCGCAGACAGCTAGATGTTCTCATACGAAAATTAGACCCAAGAGTAACCTAGGAATAAAAAGGGTGCCCTTTTTGGGTTAAAGGGGTTATAAGAGAAGCCAAACCCCCAAAAAAGGAAACAAGGGCCTACTCTGGGTCCTAGACTGTTTCAGCATGGCGGCCAAACCTGTCAACCCGCAGTTTTCTGTGTTCTATCTCACACCCAAACCCCCAAACCCAAACCGTAGTATGCTACGACACTGCAACAGATGTTGCCCCCAAAACGGAGCCCACAACTCCAATGAAAGCCTAAACTGCTGAGCCAGAAACCCCAACAAACCTTAACAAAGCCCTAAACCCTGACTATCGAGCATCGCCTCTAGCCACTCCCGGGCGGCAGTCAGCTTCTCGCACGACACGGGGCTCATTGGAACCTGCTGAGTCGGGCAAAGGGGGCTTAAGTTCTTTGAGCTTCGTTTTTAGATGTGGCTTAGGGCCTATAGGGCTTGGTTTTGGGCTTAGGCCCATAATGGAGCTTTATGTTTTGAGTTTTGAGGCACGTCCGACCCCCCGGTTTGGGAGTTCCTTACGTTGGGGCCTCAGATGAGGAGAGCCCTGCATTGGTCTGTTTTTGTGCTTCATAACTAAATTCCCCTTAGAAGCATAATGAAAATACTATTCTTCATATTCTCTTGGGTTTTATATGAGCAAAAATAAAAAGATAATTCCTAAGGAGACTATAAATACATCCCGGGACCCTTCTGCATACCGTCTTAGAAGGATCTTTTTCTGAAGACCCTCACGTAAAACGTAGGATCAATTCTTGGATTCTAGGAAACCCCAGTTTGGCTCTGCGGGAATTTCATGACGATGTCGCAGGAGGTGCCGAAATGACTCAGAAGTCTAAGCCGTCAGCGTACCGATGCTCCTGCCTGCAGCCAAACATCCGGCTGAAACCATGCGCAATTGGCGACTTGTGCGCTAAGCAATTCTCAACACTCATCGGCAAGCTTGGTAGGAACTTTTGCACCGCTACTTGCTTGGGTTCTTGCTCCAACGATCCTAGAGCGGGTCTTGACCAACAACATACAGAAGCCTAGGTTCTAACAAGTTTCAGGAGCTGCGAATGTACCAACTGCCCCAGACATGCTATGAATTTATGGGTGCGTCATGTGCAAGAAATGTCAGCTTGGCCCGAGCCAGTGACCGGACATGGGAGGTGACAACATGGGGCAAAACCTAAACTTTAGACCCTTAGCCTCCACTGCCCTTAGAACGTAAGCACAGCATATTGCGTGCAGAGGACACCGTAAACGAAATCGTAGCACGAAAAAGAAACAAGCCAAAAGCGCATCCAAGAGCAGTACAGCAAGGCTCTGTACATCTTAGACCGTCGGATATCGGCATTGAGCTTTGAGGTATTGACCTGTGATGTCGCAGGCCTACAAACCGCAAGCTCATGCCCTCACATGACGTCTGGAAAGGACTTAGGAAGGCTAGTTGACGTGCAATGGGTGGTTTCACCACGGGTTCAAAGCTGGACACGAATACAACTTCGAAAACTTACCGTGGCGAAGACGTCCGGCTTGACGAGCCTTGGGGTGCTAAAAAACGATGTACACGTGCAAACACAAGTCTCACCGCCATTTGGGAGCTTCACAAAACAAGGGACTGTAACAAAAAGAGAAGACAAGGATCCTTAAACTTAAACCCTAAAGCCTAAACCGTGACGAGGATCTTCATTGATAAGAGCCCAGGTCTGGGAAACTAAAGCACCTTCCTCCATATTTTTGCGCGAAGGGGGCCCCGAGTGAATCTCCCCTAGAATCCCTAGAAAACCAGCTGCCTACGCAGTGGGATACTTCGTTTCACCATGCCGTAAAGGCCCTGAGCATTTAATTTATTCTGCAACCCTACATCCTAAACCCTGAGCAAAATCCTGGAATCCTAGGTCGTGAAACAGAAATCTCAGTCATCGCAGCCGCACGTCTCAGGCATTTTTCAAGCAATTATCCTTCACTGGACAACTCTTCCTCGTCCGTCTCGTCGGCCTGATCACAAGGGCACAAGGGCTGCACAGGTACCAGGAAGGTTGGGAGTTGAAGCTTCGTGTGTCATCTCTATCACTTCCTACTTCAATATCTACTTAAGGGTGCGTGTGTCAATGTTTCCGGCAGTCGCTCTCATGTAGTCATTCATCCCTGTATGAATATGTGTGTGTGTGTGTGCAAATATGTGTATAGTAAACGTATATATCTACATATGCTTATGTATACTTCCAATGATAATGGTTCTTATGTATCCATGTATGTATTTATACATACACACACAGGAAGTCGGTGTATGCAGGTATGTCAGGCATGCATGTGTGCATGCATGTAATGTATGTTTATATGTGCGAACACATACAAATACAGACATGCATACGTGCAGGCAAACAGAACCATTCATACACACTCATACATATGTGTGTGTATATGTATGTATGTATGTATGTATGTATGTATGTATGTAAGCCATCAATCATGCATGCATACATGCGGACATATATATATATATATATATATATATACACATACCTACATGCCTGCATAAGCGCATACCTACTGACATACATACATACATACATGCGTGCGTCTGCACATACATTACATCGAACACACCCATCTAATTTGCTACATTAGTAGTACTTTGCATGCAGGCAAACATACGTAAAGACTGTGTATATGTATGCATGTCTGTCTGTATGCTTGTATGTCTGCAATTAGGTCTGTAGGTCTGTCTGTCTGCCTGCCTGGCTGTATGTAGGTATGTTTATGCGAGTTCGGACGCATGGCTTCAGAACCATGTCACGAGTTTGCATGCAAAACTTGAGGCATTTGCGCTGAAGCCCGAACCATCTCTCTCTCTCTCTCTCTCTCTCTCTCTCTCTCTCTCTCTCTCTCTCTCTCTCTCTCTTGCATGCAACCAGAAGCAGGTCTCGCAACCTGCTTCACACCCGAAGGCGCACTGGTTACATGGGCTAACTCTCTCTCTCTCTCTCTCTCTCTCTCTTTCTCGCTCTGTCTCTCTCTTTCTCTCGCTCCGTCATGTCAGGGGGTTTGGACCTGGAACATGCAGGCTAACCGCATAACAAATGCCTCAAGTAATCTCCTCCAAACAGTGTCAGCCGGGGCTCGGAATGCCTATTTCTCCTTACAAGGGACGCTTACCACCCAAGTATGCGCACTACACGGGTGGTTGTCAAAATTATGGTCCCGTTTTGGGTACCCTAAATATTAGGTGCCGTATTATAATAAGGATCCAAAAAGGGACCTTGAAATTGACAACTACCCACATACATCTCCGCTCAAAGCCTTTAGTTGAAGGATGCTCAAGGTTGAGGCTTCAACAAAGCCGATTCCCAGTGCAGGCCTTCCTGTGACCCTAAAACTCCATGTGCCCATGTAGTAGGTACTCTTAAACGGGTCACTATATGGGTACTTTAAAGCCTAAGTACCTACTATATGGGTACATGGAGCCTTTGGGTGAGAGGATCCCCACACGAAAACGGCTTAGGGTTGTAGGGCTTGCGTAGTTCATGGAACAGGTAAGGTCTAAGTAAGCATTCAGTGTGAGAGAGAGTTGCATGAACCCAAGATGCATGAAGTTTACGGGCCCAGCGGGCACCGGAACCTTCCATAGTTTTCGGAGGGTCCTATTGGAAACTCTTCTATGGAGTTTATGGGGAAAGCAGGATTCGGTACTTAAGTAGTTGCCGAGGCCGCAGCTGCAGAGCTTTCAAGGTGGTCTGTCACAATCTCCAGCACATCTCGAAACTCATCTGCCTGGTCAGGTTTGTATGGTGGCAGATTGGGATCATTTGGATTTCAGAAGGCGGCTAAGCGAGTGCTTGGTTGGTGCAGTAGATATAGGTTCCATCTGTTTCTCTTCTGGTAATCTTTACGTGGGATTCCATTAGGGTTTCTTAGTTTCTTGAACACCCCTGTCGGCCCTGAGGATGGCGTTGAGCAGTTTGCGGCTTGGGGGTTCGGGGCTCATTCTTAGGGTCCGGAGTATGATGGCTTACAGTTTACAGTTCGAGCTTACGGCTCAGGGGATTTGGGGAGCACGTCTTTGGGTTTATGGTTTGCAATAAACTCCGTGAATCGAAAACGGAAGTATCGCCAGAATTGGCCGGCAAGCCCTGGAGCTATCAACGGAAACACGGATCATTTGTCCTTTGCGTGTGAATGACGAAGCATTCGAAGAAATGCGCCAAACGTCCTGTGTGTATGCATTTGTTGTCGTGAATTACAAGAACAATTCCCAAGCAGGACACAAGCACATGCCATTTCACGAACATGCACGGCAGTTCTGTGTTTGCTGCCGACGTTGCTTAACTTGTCCTCATTGAAGATGATGGGCAAACAACAGAGTTTAGGGTTTGGGTTTCTCATAAATTACCTGGACTATTTGGGGGGGTTGAATATAGTCTTCGGGCCGTTCTAAGGTTGAGGGCATCCGGGCTAGCTGCGATGACGCACATGCCTTGGTATCAGGACAGAGCTTTGGGATATAACATAGTATCGTACATCTTTATATAATCCTAAGGAGCCCTAAGAAATTGTATCGGCAATTCTTCAGGCCACAAAAAAAGGCTTTAATCATTAGACTAGGCTTTTCGGTTATCTTGTACTATATTCATACTAAGGAACCCCACAATAGTAATTGTAGGTATATTAATTGCCAAGAAACCTTAAACACTTAACCCTAACCTGCCCCAAACCCTAAACCCTAAACTGCCCTAAACCCTAAACCCTAAACTGCCCTAAACCCTAAACTGCCCTAAACCCTAAACTGCCCTAAACCCTAAACCCTAAACTGCCCTAAACCCTAAACCCTAAACTGCCCTAAACCCTAAACTGCCCTAAACCCTAAACTGCCCTAAACCCTAAACCCTAAACTGCCCTAAACCCTAAGTTCTGTATTCTTGACGGACCTCTACGTCGTAGCGTGTGCGGACAGCTGCAGCCCAAGCCTCGACTGCAGAGGGTCTGAACCCTTGCGGGTTTGGGGTTACGGGGTTTCGGGCTTTTTCGGGTGGGTTTAGGGAGTTAGGGGCTTGAGGGTTTAGGGTTACGGGGTTTCGGGTTTTGGGGGGGTTTAGGGAGTTTAGGGCTTAGGGGGTTGAGGGTTACAGGGCTAAGGGCTTAGAAGGTCTATGGCTAAGGATTCAGGGGTTTGCAGTGGTTTAGGGTTTAGGGGCACACAACTTTTGGCAGAGTTTCATGATAGAAAGGATTCTGAGACACTGGGATTATAATCACGAAAAAAGGCATCACTGCTATCTCATTCGCGACCATCAACACAAACATCGTCATGACCGCTCAAGTTCAGAACACTAAAGGTGACCCACACCCCAACCCGAAACCCCAAACCATCTCAA